ATGGGCAGAAGCAGCGGAGCTTCAGATCGAAAGGTCTTGTTAGTCATGATGCACTGAACAAGCGAACACCGGCCTTATGGTGGCCGAACGACTGGGCATTTTCTGAGCTGGCTTACTAGGGATAGTCAGTTAGTATAAAAAATTTAGCAACGGACTTACGGTATTTGAAGATGTGAAAAAAAAGAAAATGGGTCTGCGCCTCGCATACCCAAAGCATTGAGTAGTACCTGGAGATGACACCAGGTTCAAGAGGTGTCTCGGCAATGCGCTTCTCTTCCTCTTTGAGCAGCGTACTTTCGCTGTTTGGATTAACACTTGTTATCAGCTCACGTCTGTACGTTACAGGCTGACCTTCTTCATCCACATAATTGCCTTCCGTGCTTGCTTGCGTATTTGCAATTGTGCCTCGTGGAAGTACCTGTAATAACAGGGCTTGTCGTTCTAATACGCCATTTCTTCTGCGCCAATAACGGTAATGTAACTGTTACTTAATAAGTGACACGCAACGTGTATGCGATGTGCTTACACACTACTCCAGCTTTTTCTGACAAGAGTATGCTTTCGCAGTAGCTCCTCACTCAAAAAAGAATTGTTTTAAAAGTTTGGGAAGAATCAAACCAAGAATCTGAATTCCTGATACTAAATGGCTCAAAAAATCATTCTGAAAAAGTAGCGCTACTTTCATGTTACAGTGTCTAAGCTCCTGGAAGACATCCAGAATCTGACGCGGTCTGCTTGGTGCGTGCCACTAAAGAATGAGCTGGCAATGCGTACAAATGAGTGTAACTAGTAAATTAAGAAAATATGATAACTGCACCTCGGCCATTTCCGCTCGACGATTAAAATCACCGCTGCCTTGCGTCACTGACACTGCCGATGTAAGAGGAGTGGTGGATTCGTGGAACGTTTTTCGCTGATAACTCGTTTTCTCGATTCCGGGTAAAGCTCCTGCTTGCGGTTCCAGACGACCGATTGGTTGCTGTTCATGTATCACTCCCTTTGAAGAGTGTCCTTGCATTTGTTGCTCATAGCGTGTGCTGCCATAGTTTTCCACTATTTTTTTCCCACCACTGTAATTTGAATCTGATCGATGAAATTTCAGATGTACTTATTATACGTTTATTATGCGTTTTTGCTGGCTGTAGCAGTGCTATAGCGCTGCTACAGCCAGCAAAAACGCATATTGTCGACAGGCTGTCTGTGTGTGTGTTCGGAAAGCGAGTGCATTTCGTCACCCATTTTCAACTCGGCAACCAGGAAAGCTGGGGGGCTGAAACTTCGGATATGTGTCATCCTTCCGTTTTAAGATCTTCCCCCCCATCCGTGTGTCATCCTCCCGTTTTAAGATCTTACCTACGCGCCTAAACCCCGCGCACGAGACCGCCAAAGAGTCCTTCTCCCGTTTTGGGATCTTCCCCCATACGCGCCTAAACCCCGCGCACGAGACCCCCAGAGGGTTTGTTGGCGGGAAACGATTTCGCGAACCAGGCAACGTAGAAGGCTGAAACTTTGCAGGGATATTCCTATGCACGTACGAGATAAAGGTTTTAAACTCAGCCCTCTAGCTCCCAACCACAGCCTCAGGCAGCTACTGAACCCAAAAATCGTTAGCAACTCGGACCTGGCGGGAAACGATTTCGCGAACCAGGCAACGTAGAAGGCTGAAACTTTGCAGGGATATTCTCTATTTACGTACGAGACAAAGGTTTTAAACTCAGCCCTCTAGCTCCCAACCACAGCCTTAAGCAGCTCCTGAGCCCAAAAATCTTTAGCAACTCGGACCTTAACTGCAATCGTATTTGTAAATGAACGCGGTTTTTTTGAAAACGACCGCTCGGGCAATACCTTTACTTTTTAGTGAATTGGAAATTTGCATTTTTTCAAAAAACTTCAAAACTTCTTCAAAAAGGG